ATGATAATAATAATAATAATAATAATAATAATAATAATAATAATAATAATAATAATAATAATAATAGTAATAGTGAGTAAACATCGTGGCTGATCTATACATTAAATATCAGGTCCCTTCTTTGTGATCCTCAGCAGCTCATTGTGGCCGTAGAGCAGCAGCGGTGTTGGTTCTGTGAAGGTTTGCAGTAAAACACTAACTGTGTCCATCCAGTTCTCATTTAAGCGCCACAAACATTCACACGAAGCCACCGTGAGAACAAACGTCACCGTGAGCAGGCAGCAGAGACAAACGGAGGCTCGGTCACCGCGGCTCGACCTCCTGAGCAGAACGCAAAATGGCTGTAACCTTGTCAGAGCCTCCAGTGTGTCCATGCTTCTCTTATTCTGGTTCTGGATGCAGCGGCTCCAGCTGCTCTCGGTGATTTTACACCACGATTTGTTTTTTTTAATTATTCAATTAAATCATTTTTATTTTTTGTCTTTTTTGGCGCTTTGCTGCGTTTCCACGCCGTCAGGTGTCACTTTGGGCCCTGCGGCGCTGTGGATCCTCTGAGCACAGCCAGGCTGACGCTGGTGTCCAAATGTTGTGATGTGAGCGCAGATCGGGGGCATGGCCGCATGTGAAGGCTGCAGTCGGTGCCGTTCTGACGCGTTTGCGTAACTGCTTAGAAAATATAAACGCGTGCAGCAGCGTGGAGCCGAGTGGGTCGGAACAGTTCGGTTATTTTTCTCTTTTACTGATCTGATGCTCAGACTGAACGCAGGGACTGTCTGCTGTACAAACTGGTGGAGAATAAAGGTGGTGGCGGCGGTGGGGGGGTGCAGCTACACGACGGTCTGATGGCCGCCGAGCTAATGATTCAACAAATCTAAAAAACAGAGCAGCAGCAGCAGCGGAGAGTGTGTGAGCTGACAGCTGGAATCACCGCGCAAAGAGAAAAATCAAATAAATCTCGTCCTTACCGGTGAACGGCGCCGGGCTGAACGCATTAAGGTGACTTTGCAAAAGTGGCGTTTTGTCGCCGCCCGAACATTCGCTCCGGTTCTCCCAGCGCGCACCAGGCAGCAGGCATGTTAGAACATCACAGAGAAGCCATAAGAGAGCCGAGCTATTCGCTTTTACATTAGTGTTTTACGGCCTCCTCCATAAACATGAATATTTCAGCTGCCATAAAACTTTCCTTCCCCTGGAACAACGAGTGGGGAAGGAAGGCTCGACAGAGTAAAGTACACCGTTTATACAACCCGACCACTTAAAATCAAATTACCAAAGCATAAAAGCTAACTTATGGGCTCGGTCTGAGTTGTCATAAGGCGAGGAATTAGAGCAGACGAGCCTGAGATCGGACTTCAAGAGGCACCTCAGCGGAGAGGTGTAATAAAAATTTATGGAGGGTGTAATTATATTGGCCCTGCAAACAGACGATCGTAAATCTTGACCCAAGGGCTACTCTTCCACTTCTAACGGAAAACAGAGATAGGAAGCCGTAGATTCAGACGGTGGACACCTCGCTGACTGCATGGCTTCAGCTGCAAGCACAAAGGCGCAGCGAGAGAGAGAGAGAGGGAGAGAGAGGAACAAGTTTGCATGCAGCTCTTACCGATGTTTACATGGACTTTCTTCATCCACGGGTAGACTACCGGGTCCTTGCGACTGCTCGTGGGGGAAGAAGTGCTTTGGCTGTGAGGCGTTTGACCGCAAGACGGAGGCGGAGGCGGGCTCGGTGTCACCGAGTCGCAGCGGTGGCTCTGCTCCGGGACAGGGGTGGTCTGCAGCCCGGTCGGAGGGACGGCATGACCCCGAGGGGACATCACCACCGAGGCGGGCTGCGCGGCGCGCTGGCACGGCGTGAACGGCGGCTCGGCTCGCTGCTGGTGGTGGCTCTGGTGGTGCGGGTGGTGTTGGTGGTGGTGGTAGAGAGAGTCCGGCTGGAAGGCAGCAGGCTCCTGCCTCTGGGAGCTGTAATAGTCCGGAGAGTGACTGGGCAGATAGTCGCTCTGTGAGTACTCCTCGCACGGCGGGAACTTGGGGTCCACATAGTTGGAGTTGATCAAATAGGAGCTCATGGCCATTAATTTCAGTCTTTTTGTGGAATTGCACCTACTCGGAAAATATATAACTAAAATTTATATCTCATCCCTTTACTCTTCGGTTATTCCTGTTCCGTTGAACCCTCCTACTTTTCTGTCAAGTGAACAAAGTTAAGAAGCCACGTGACGGCGGCTGGCCAATGGCGCGCCTCCAGGACGAACCCCGGATAAGGAAATGGGATTAAGCATGTACACGGCCCCCGCACGCGCATCATCATATGGCCTCAGTTTGTGGGCATTCACAGTGCTACAATACTTTCCCCTCTCCCGCCCCGGCCCGCTCCGTGTGCCAGTCCTCCTCTATGTCGGCGCGCCGCCGCCTGAGCAGCCGCACGATCACAACAATAACAAAGCGCGTCCAACACGCTGAAAACACATCCCGCTCCAAATGGAGACGTGCGCGCACATGGACACACACGAGCAGCAGAGTACAGTAAGCTACAGATGACAAGTCGTCCCTTATTGCAAACGAACCCTTTCCCCCTCTGACGCGTCTGGCTGCAACTTCAAACAGGAAAATAGAGAAAAAAGAAGCAGCAGAAAGAAAGCGCTCGGCGGGATTCGAAGTGGCGCCTGCACCACCCTCTGTGTATATATTTGGGTGTGTGTAGGGGACGTGCTGCCAAAGCGCTTTTCTTTTTTCTCTTCTTCTTCTTCTTTTTTTTTTTTAAATCGCTAATAACGGGGAGTGGGCGCGCGGCCTGGCTGCACCGCCACCCAGCAGCTCCACCGTGTCAGAGATAAATCTGGCTTGTTTAGGATCGATAGAAAATTCATCAACTAATTCAGGTTACACGGCCTCCTAAATCACCAGCAGACCTTTGCATTAGGAACGAGAATCAGCACCGTTTCCCCCTTTTTAAAACCCCGCGTTGCTCCAACAGGCGCCCGCTCCACATTCAGCTCCCCTCGCATCGTAATTCAGCCTCCACGGCTCGTCCTCTGCCTGCATGAGCAGATTTATTCCCTCCGCTCTCTCATATTAACATCTCTGGCATAGTGGGTCCATACGGCCCGTCCGGCTGCCTTTGCCCTTGAGCTGCTGTGCATTACTGAGCACAGATGCACCGCTCCTGCTTTTCTTTCTCTTTTCTTTTCTTTCTCCTGAAGGGAACCCACGGACCCACCCGTGACCCGCTCACACAGAGCTTCGTTTCCTCATTCCAGACTCTCACACACCGCCGTGCTACACACACTTTCACTTCACGGTGCTGCCGCTCTTGTTTTGCCATGAAACACACCGACACACTCACACTGGACTGGATCAGGCAGAAACTCATCGGCTTATAAAACACAATCATTTCCACGCATTTCTCACCATCAGAGGCTTTGCAGTCATAAATCTGCTCAGTGTGCATTTAGACACGACAACAAAAAAAAAGCTCATAAAAAGTGCAAAACACGGAACAGAACCGAACCGAACAGTTGTTTTCTGCTGCAAAATGAGGATGCTGCACGTGCTCTGGGTGTTATCAGCAGGATTAAATGTACACACACACACACACACACACACACGCACAGAGGCGAGATGATGGAGATATCCAAGCCCTTTGTTTCGAGAAAATTGACCGTCTCTAAATCGAAACCTTACCTCCGCCAACCCCCACGCGCAGCCCCCTCCCACGCCTTCCTAGATGAACAGTAAAGCCGACCGCATCATTTTTCAACCAGACAAATAATAAATAAAAAGGGTCCAATTCAACCTGGAGTTGGCCTTTAAAGCAGGGAGATCGAAAAAAACAGAAAGCAGCGAACTTGGATTGAGTTTTCATCACTTTAGGGGAGAAAAGACACGAAGGCTTCAGACCCAATATCAAATAATCAGCATTAAAGAATAAAATAAAGACTCGCTCTCTTTTGTATTTACAGTGCAAATAAAAGAGATTTAAACGCACATATATATCTTTTAAAATCTTTTGTCCATAAACGAATTCAGACATGAAGCAGAGCTGTGCTTAATAAACCCAGTGGAGCAGCTGAAGGCCTCCGTGGTGGATCCATCGCTGCCGTCGCGTATAAATCCACTATATACTCCCCTAGAAGCGAATTTGTGATTGTTTTAATGATTTTTACACAAATCCGGATCTACAGGGTAGATATAGAAGACATGGGCTCTCTGAAGGCACCGGTTCACGCCGTCGATGGGCCTTTTATTGCTTTCATAAACTCCCCGCCGTTGCCACGCGGGGATATTTTCATCCGTCAGTACTGTCTCTGACCGCTGACCCCCGCACCGCTGGTGGGGATCTGGGAGATGAAGTTATAATGCTTCAACACTTCCTCTAACTGGAGGGCGTCGATTAAAAAGCCAGCGCGCAGATAGACCGAAAACAAGCTGCTGGAATAAGGTTAGAAATAAAAATAAAGAAAAAGAAATCAAATGTGCGCCGTTTTGTTGGAGAAGGGAGGACAGGTGAGCTCCCAGCCTGCTGGAACAGTGTTTCCATGTGCAGGTTGAAGCACCAAACAGCCACATAAATCTGGACTATCCAAATAAAGGCCTGTTTTCTTTATTTCAGAGGAATGCGCAGTGAAGCAGGCCGATGGTTTCTCCTGAACGAGCGTGAGAACGTGAAAATAAAACCCTGAAATATGAGAAATATTATCAGCATATAAAAGCTGTTATTTATGTCCTGTACGGTGTCTGATGCTGATGTTTTCCTCCGTGTGCAGCGCAGGGAGGCCTCTTCCTGGGACTTTTTATATCTTCTTTGTACCAAATTCAGTATTTTCTCGGTCTGGTTCATTTTGTCAGAGCTGCGATTAAAACTGAAAAAGTTTGATTGGAAATTAAAACATGTCTAAACTTTCTACCAACGTACACGGAATTTAATTAGTAGGACATTTGTAATTATTAAAAAAAAAATAAAATAAAAGGAGGGTAAAGAAAAAAAAAAAAACCTTCTTGGCAGCTCCAAGCGCGGAGCGTTCGAGCAGAATGAACACAGTTTAATGAAAGAAAAGACAAATCACTTGGCACAGGAAAACGCTGTCCTATCAGAAATAGTTCGCAATGTTCTGACTGAAGAATGGATGGAGCGCAGCATAAATGGATAAATATGGCTTCAGCATGCTAAATGAATTGCAGTCTGTCTCCAAAACTCTGATTTAACTGAATTATAAAGTGATCCGAGCAGCGAGTACACAAAGGCCTCCAATCTGTAATGGCTCCGTCCTCCTGTCCTGCTCGCTCTTTCTTTCTTTCTTTCTTTCTTTCTTTCTTTCTTTCTTTCTTTCTTTCTTTCTTTCTTTTTACGCACATAACCAGGAAAAGAAATTAAAACAAAATACAACAAACACCCTCCTTTAACCATGAGCCAGTACTCCAGCATGTTAGTTAATAAAATATCACATTAATAAGCTGCAATAATTCATCATTTCAGTGCAAAATATTATTTAAAAAAACAAAGCCCTCGTTGATTAATCTGGTGGAGGCCTGCTCTTCACGCTCATGTATACTCTGGTGTTCGCTGCTATATTTTCCATGTAATTTCAATCTGCTCTTATGCTGCTGCCGCATTGATTTTGTGACACTAACACTCCCTCCCTGCTGCAGGCGATATTGCTGCTCTCCGTTTCCTCCAAAAGTTGCTCATACATCACCGGACCGGACAACAAGCAGCAGAAGCAGCGTGGAGGGAAAAATCCACGGCGGCACTATAATCTCACTACAGGCCCTCTTATAGCCCGCGTAGTTTTTATTTTTATTTTTAATTCTATTCTATTCTATTCTATTCTATTCTATTCCACTCCACGGTGCTGTTGCTGCACAGGTGTGGGCCTGTCTGCGTCACCTTGACCTCCCTCTTTGCTGCGGGGTCAGCGCAGGTATCGATCAAGGTGTGTTTGGTCTGACTGCAGCGCTTCCCTTCCCTCTGTCAAGTTTGTCAGCAGCAGCCATTCAGCTCCTTTGTTCCTGGTGCAGGTAGAGGAGAGGTCAGAGTGTTCAGCAGAGACTGAAAACAAACTCGTCTTCCTGCCAGCTGAATTCAGATCAACCTAATAAATACTATCATATATATTTAGTTTTAAAAATCCGCTATAATAACCAAATAATTAGCTGCAACCTTTATTTAAATTAATTTATGTTCTAAATGTAGAGGAGCAGCTCGAGCAGCTGAAGAACCGGAACCGGTCAGTTTTTATTTTCTAAACAACAAATCAGCTCCAGACTAATAATAAAAATAATAATAATAATAATAAATAATTTGAGCTGTAGCATTTAATGGTGACATGAGGGGATGTTTCAGGGCTTCAGAGGCAGCAGGAGGACGGAGTGAGTGGAAAAGGTCAGCGGATTCAAACATGGGACTTTTATTGCGGGTCAATTCCGTTTACAGCTCCAACACCAACAAATCCAACAGCAGCTTCCCGGAGGTTGAAAGAGGGTTTTTTTTGTTTTGTTTTGTTTTTTTGGAGTGTAGGGAGGGAAGGAGGCCGAAATGAAAAGCAATAAAATATTCAGGGAGCGGAAGAGAGCCCCGTTAGAATAAATAACTTTATTTACGACTTTCTAACAAGTTTGTCCCGCAGCGGCCCAAAAACACGCAGCAGTTGTTGGCAAAGCTGCCGAGAAAAGCTCTGCTGCTGCTGTCACCGCGGACTGGATCAGAGTCCGACTCTAGGACGGATTAAACTGAACGAACACGAAGGTAAGAGCGCGCTTTAGTTTCTAAATAGTGAGATTTAAGACGGGCTGAAAGGCTCAGCAGGCTGCTGGGGTTACAAAAATAATCCGTCGAATTAAAATAATATATAAATAATTTAAAAATATAAAATAAAATAATAATATAAAATAATATCCAACAGAACTGCTGCGTAAAGATTTTTTTAAATTATAATTTTAAAGCCACAAAGGATTTTTCCCCCAACATCAGGCCTTGAAAGGTAAAAGTCCACAATGAGAATTAAAATGAACATATTGGAGGGTTAAACGGCCTCATTATCCGCAGCGACCGGACTTGTCAGTGCTCTGAAATATTACCGACGTGAAAAAGCTACAGGGACAACGACGCAGAAGAGAAATGCGGTTTTGCTCTTTTGTGCAGCTTGAAAAATAAATCGAGCTCCATTCCTGGCTTATTGTCATGCAAAGTGAAGGACAGAGCGCTGCGGAGGCCTGTCCCTCCGTGTGGCCAAGGATTAATGTGGAGATGTTCTCTGGATTATGTTGTGAGTTCATTGGAAGATAAAAAAATTAAAATGTGAGAGCAGAGCTGAGTTCCAGCGTGCAGCGGGCGGAGCAGGTAGAAGTGGGAAATCCAAACAGCAGGAGGACGTAACGGCAGAGCTTCAAGATCTGCACTGAATTCAACTAAATCAGCTCTAAAATCCGCATTTTTTTCC